GAACCCTATGGGTCCATCTTCCAGAGCTGCTCGTAGTATGCGCTCTGCTGAGACAAACTCGTTACCATGAAGGGTTGGTCTCCTCATGGTTAGGTCCCCTGCTCTTGCTGCTTCAGGGGGTCTCCTAGGGGGTCGGTCCTGCTCCTGAGTCTTGAACTCCAGCTGGCCCGTATCCCATTGTATGGTGGGTTTGAGCCTCCGTAGCTCAGTGAACCCCAGGATGAGGTCATAGTCTGCAGTGTCGGCCACTGAAGCTTCGACCACACCCAGATTGTGTGTACCAATAGATACCTGCATGCTCGCAGAACTATTGATGGAGAGTTGGTGCCCGGTGACACCATGGATCGATCTTGTTTTTATGGGTTTTGTGGGTATTTGGTACTTACTAATGAAAGAATCTGAGACTATGGACAAACCAGCACCGGTATCAGCTAGTATCCGAGCAGGATGGTCTTGAACCATTCCAGAGAGCTCCAGTACTGCTTTGCCTCCACTGGTAGAGAAACATACTTGACAATCTTGATATATACATAGTGATGGCGAGGAGGTTTGTAGAGCAATGCATGCCATCAGTGCATCACCCCACTGACGTTTCCCTCATCGTCATCATCATCGTGCTCCTCCTCGTGATCGGGGTCCATGGGTTGCTGGTATGAGCTGAGGTCCATGGCCTCGGGGTCACCCGTCTCAGTACTGCCTGTGTGGCCATCTCCTGAGTCGGTGGCCCCCTCGAAGGGGTCTGCTGTGGTGACCATAACCTTTGGTCCCATGGGTCGAGAGCTAAGAGGGTTTACCCTCCTGCTGGGGCAGTCTCTGGCCCAATGGCCGATACCCTTGCATACATGACAGGTGTTGATACCTGATGGAGCAGGGCTTCCTTGCTTCGAGGGTTGGGTGGGATGATGAGGAAGGGGTCGGTTTAGGTTTTGTATAGTTGCTTGTGTAGTTGCTTGTGATGGTGATCGAGCTGGATAAGGTTGAGTGGGTTGTCGGATGGGGATTGAACTTTGATTTGGCCGAGACCCAGTTCTTAGTGGAGGTGACGTGGCATTTGGAAGTGAGTGTCTAGCCGAGGACTGCTGTAGTAGCATCCTCTGTCGATCGATCTCCTCGACCTCTCGATACCACTCCCATCTCTTCCCAGGTGGATTCCTCTCGAACTTCTCCTGTATGCTACGAGTGAGACTACCTCTGAAGAGATCAATCACTAGCTCATTGTCATCTAGGTTGACCTGTCCTTCCAAGTCTCTGAACCGCTCTACATGACGTGTGGCGGCACCAGGAGCATCACTTGTGAGTCTGAGAGCCAACAGCTTGTTGTATGCCTCCATCCTAGCATTGCGTGGGTTGAACTGCTCTGACAGTCGCTCTGTGAAGTAGTGCCAATCATTGAACAACCTTCCTTCTCTAGCTCTATCAATATGGAGCTTGGAGGTCCACCACTCTCTTGCTGTCCCTTCCAGTTGAGCACCCATGTGATTGATCATCCTAGACTGCTCATACACCTGGTTGAACTTAAACCATGCTTCGGCTTCTAGAATGAAGATCTCCATGTCTCGGGGATTGAACTTTGGAAAGGGGGTGGTAATGGGCTTTGACCGGTTAAGCTCTGCCATGATGCTGGTATCCTCCTCGTGGTCCAGGGGGTAAGGGTCCGTCCTAGTCCTGCTGTAGGGGTCCAGCTTAGTCTTGACATATCTTGGCCCAGTAGGTGAAGCATACTTCTCGTAGTTGATGTCCTCCTGCTCATCCAGGTTGAATGAGACTGATCGTCTTGATCGTGGAGCAGGAGTAGGAGTATGTGGGTCTCCTATCATAGACTCATCTCCTCCTCCTGCTTGGTCTTCCGAGTGAGAGAGGTCCATTGTATCCTCCCTACCCAGCTGAGCTTGTTGTAGTCGTTCCTCTCGATGACCCTGCCTAGTAAGCTCTAGCTGAGCTTCCAATAGAGTGAGTAGTCTATCGAGCTTATTGTTGAGGTCTGGGTCCATCATGGTGATCGTGAGGAGCTGCTTGAACGATCCACTCTAATGTCAGAGGTCTCGCGCCTGAAACCCAGGTCGGTCTGTCGAGATACTCGGTGACTATCAAACTGTGCGACAGCTATTGTCTCGAGATACTCGGTGACTATCAAGTTGTGCAGTGACAGCAGGTGGCGTTTGTTGTATATACTATCGTAGGTTTCGGCTGACCTCTGTGGACACTCCGTTCAGGGGTAGCTCGGCACGATCAATATCAATGTTATGATGACACCAAGGTCTGGTGTGAGTGTTGATGATGATGAGGTTGATGGTGTTGGTGATGAGATTGGTGATGTCGATGATAATGAGGTTGATGGTGTTGGTGATAAGGTTGGTGGTGTCAACACGAGTGTCCAGTGTGTTGACTTGATGCTTGAAGTGATCCCCGGACCGCAGTGGACCACTGCCTTCGGTTCTATCTATATCCGGACCGCTAACCTGCTATGGGCACCTTCGGACGTCAGGTAGTGGTGATACAACACACACACTACGATGAGGAGCAACCTTGATAGATTGCTGCTATGCTGACTGAAACTAATGTATACTTATGCTGAAGTGATAACTAGTTATGGTGAGTAGAGTGGATGAGGATCCACTCGACCTATGATGATGAGAAAGCATGGTTATATACCTCTTCTCAGCATCGCCAGCGATGCTGCTCCTGCTCTCTCTCCATAGAGTACCTTCTTCATCGAGTACTGCTCAGGGGCCTCTCCTGCTTGGCACCCCTGTGCCTCTTGGTCGACACAGCTCCTCCTCCTCATGACCTGGTGTCGACTCCTTCGACACTGCTCCTCCTCCTCATGACCTGATGTCGACTCCTTCGACACTGCTCCTCCTCCTCATGACCTGGTGTCGACTCCTTCGACACTGCTCCCCCTCCTTTGATCAGTGACAGTTCCTTTGGCTCTTGTCTCTCGAGCCCCTGAGTGGTAACCATCTGCATGCTCCTTGAGCTTGGTCCTCTTCGTGGCTGTGCCTGCTCCTTGAGCTTGGTCCTCCTCGTGGCTGTGCCTGCTCCTTGAGCTTGGTCCTCCTCGTGGCTGTGCTTGGCCCTCCTTTGCATGTGAGTCCATAGGAGTCCATGGTCTCCATGGAGACTGCACTACGACCATGCTCTCTACTGGTGTCGACTAGGTCTTCGATTCCTGTGCTCCTTCCATATGAACCAGTGACCCTCCTGCTTCTTGAGCATCCAGGCCCATGACACATATACTTAGTTGTTCCATCACATAGTGCAATCGCAGGCCATTGCTACTAATCTGAGCAGGTGTGTCATATCACCTCTCACTGACATTGTCTGTAGGCAGTAGTTACTGCAGTCCAGATAATCACCTCTCTGAAGGCAGTACTCATACTGCAGTCCAGGCTTCCCTTATTGATTTGCCATTTGCTCATTGACACCTTGAACACTTGTGTTGAGTGGACAAATCCCCATTCCATACATTAAGTGCTCTGCAACAAGCAGGAACCGACTGTGCTGCATTACCACTGAACTGAGTGTTCACAGCAGCTAGCTGAAACTTGTTGAACAAATAATCCTTTGAGCAGTTTCAGTGAAAGTGGCTGACAGGAGCATACTCAAGCATGCTCACTGAAACTGGTTGAAATCACCCAAACTGGTAGTTTTCGGGTTCCAGGCACATGACCGCTGACAGTTACTTTCAGTTGAAACATACCAAGTAGAACTTACTCAATTGATCTCACCGAAATCAATCAGAAACACCCAATCTGGTTTCAGGCGCACGACCGCTTACAGCAGCCTGATGACAGCTGCTGCCGTCTTCGACAACCGACAGGCCATCAGGGTATGCACTAACAGCAGTTATGGCATCCCGGAGTGGGCCATTGATGATCCAATCATGATATCTGACAGCTGTGAGGTTCTCAGTGGGATCCCATTGATTAGCCAACCCCAGCCACTTCTTTCTTGGAGCCAATTGGAGCACAACCAACAGTGTTTTAAGGTTGTATGCAATGCCAGCCCATACCTGGATGCTGAAATGGCTGAAACAGAATGTCAAAACCATGTTGTTGATGTCTTCTCGAGTGTTTTTCCAGCAACTAACCCATGTGCATCCAGGCCAGTAGCCAACCTTGACAGCTGCCTCATCTGTGAACAGCACACCCCTCCAAACAGTGGTGCCATTAGCCTTGGCCCATTCTAGATGTTTATGCCAGATTTTGGCTGTCAGAAATGGCTTTTGAAGTGCAATCCAGCAGTTAAAACTGGCCTGGTATGCTGCTTTCTGGAGCTGCATTATTGGAATGCCACCAAGCAATGCTGACAGCTGTCACCATGATAGGAATGGGTTTTTTAGTACCTCATGCTGAAGGTATCAGTCCAAGGTAGCTGTCCAGGAGTGCAGACAGCCAGATTGTGCTTTTGTTTCAAAGGTACCATGCTCTTTAAAGTTATGGATGGTCTTGTGAACTGCTGTCTTGGAAACACTGCTTAGCTCCACAATTTGTTGAATTGGCAGCCCAGTATCATGCATTGCAATGATTGAAGCATGCTTGCTTGGAGAGAGCTCATTGCCATGGACCATATTGGTGTTTGAAGTGTTCTTGATTAGTATGATGGTAGTGCTATTGCTCAATGATGATGATGACCCAAATGCAGGGTAACTGACTAAATCGGGAAATTACCCAATTGTCCTCAAACTTCTGCACAGGGACTGTACGAGTCGCACAGACAGGAAAGGTGGAGGATGCGGAGAGAGCGAATCACCGACAGCCGGCGTGCTGTCCATTAACCGGAAGCTCGCTCTGTGCAACTTCTTCTCTCTCTTAACTTTCTCATCCCCATCATTCTCGACTTTTCTTCAAGTATCACTATCGTCGCTTCGCTTTTGGCCGCATCGTCTCAGTCACCTCGGTTTTTTCATTGCTTTCCTCAGCTCCGACTCATCTTCGACCACGGCACGGCACACTGTCACATCTGCCTCAGCCCATAGTGCCAGGGAGGTTGGACGCACGATGAACCCCCCATCTCCACCCCTCGCCCGTATCCGAACCCCAGGTTTCGCAGGGTACGGTATCGCCTGGTCACCCTTCTTCGACCGTAGTCTCGCCGTCTCCTCCTCCGCCAACTACGGTCTTGTCGGAAACGGACGACTTCACATCCTTTCGCTTGCCCCTAGCTCCACCTCACTCCACCCTCAACTTTTGGTGGAAAAAGTATTCGACACCCAAGACGGACTTTACGATCTCGCCTTTTCCGAATCGCACGAGAACCAGCTTGTAACAGCCTCCGGCGACGGGTCCATAAAACTCTGGGATACAGCGCTACAAGAACATCCCATTCGAAACTGGGCTGAGCATGGCAGGGAAGTTTTCTGCGTGGACTGGAACAATATCAAAAAGGACGTATTTGCAAGTTCGTCCTGGGACGCGAGCGTGAGGGTGTGGCATCCGGAACGACCGACGAGCTTGATGGCTATAACTACGGCGCATACGGGTTGTGTCTATGCTTGTGCTTTCTCCCCGCACAATCCTGATCTTTTAGCGACGGCTTGTGGAGATGGCCATTTAAGGTTGTTCGATCTTCGGCAACCGGCAGCACAAGCGAGCGTAACGGTGCCGGTGGGAGGAGAAGTTTTGTGTTTGGACTGGAACAAATACCGACCGATGTCATTGGCGACGGGTAGTACGGATAGAGTGATCAAGACGTGGGATTTAAGAAGTGCGATCTCGAAACCGCAAACAGGGGTAGCGACGGCGGTGGAAATAGGGACTCCAGTGGCAGCGATACTGGGTCATGAATATGCGATTAGAAAGGTGGCGTATAGTCCTCATGCCCCGCAGTTACTGGCTAGTGCGAGCTATGATATGACAGCGAGAGTTTGGGATGCTGATGCGGCGGCGACGAGTGGGCCTCCGGGTGCACCACCGCAGCCGGCCCAAGCAGGGGTAGTCGCGGGGGCTGGGTCGATGAGGAAGATCCATGATGCACATACGGAATTTGTGGTGGGTGTAGCATGGAGTTTGTTTCAGGAAGGATTGGTGGCTAGTACTGCTTGGGATTCTGAGACGCATTTGTGGGGTGTTCACTAGCGGTCGTTGCATTCAATCAACACAATCCTTTCGATATCAACGTATGCACCAGCCTGTGACAGCTTGGATAAGAGCCCTCGAGGGCGGCTTGATGTTACGAGATGGCATGTGCTACCTTTGTGCATTACAGTAGAACGAGCAGTGAGTGAAGCATGTGTAGGGGAACTAATCGCGAAGCGAGCATTTCTTCTGCCTTTTTTTTTCGGTCAATTTGCCTTGAGCCTTTTTTAGCGCACGGTCTGCTCTTGTGTGTTGGTTTTGGCGCGGCTGCTTGGGCGAGTTCATGTTCGACCCACCGACCCTGAGAAAGATGACACCCAACCAAGCCATCGACTACAATCCTATCCGTCCTCCACCACACTGCCTAGACGACCCCTCGCTCTAGATCGCGACAAGAAGGACAGAGAGCAGCCCCGCATTGCTGCTGCCCCTCGTTCGACCAGTCACAATGTCGACCTCAGCAATCTCTGTACCTTCAACCAGCGCGACGGTGGAAACCACTCCACTCCTCACCGTCGCTCGACACCGCTACAGCGTCCATTCCGTCGCCGAGTCCACCTCAACCGAATACACCCCCGAATCAGACATGGTAGACATCACAAAAGACCGGTACGATCTCTCCACGTTCCGCGGTCGTCTCATGCATTTTGCCACTGTCACTTCCCCCCTCACCCTTCTCGCATCCAATGCCGAGCTTAAAGCGGCACAAGAACACGTCACAACCATCGAATCCAAGTTGCCTTCGAACCGAACTACAGGCGAATACTACGTTACTCGACAAGAAGCACAGAAGTACTGGAAAGCCAAACAACTCGTCGATTCTTCTGTACACCCAGACACGGGAGAAGTGATCTTGCTTCCATTTAGAATGGCTGCGTTTGTTCCAACGAATCTGTTAGTGGTGGGGGGAATGTTGATGCCGAATCCAACCTTGGCGAGTATTGTTTTCTGGCAATGGGTCAATCAATCGCTTAATGTAGCGGTGAATTATTCCAATGCGAATAAAAGTGTTCCGATGAACATGAAGGAAGTTGGTCTTGCCTATGCTGCAGCTACCACCAGCGCGGTGGGTATCGCGGTGGGAATGAGTAGAGGTGTACCCAAACTTAAAGTCAGCCCGGGGGTCAAAGGTGTCCTTACTGGCCTAGTACCCTTCGTAAGCGTAGCAAGTGCAGGAATTGTGAATATCAGCTGTATGAGATGGAAAGAGATCAAAGATGGGGTTGGCGTATTCATTCGTGATGCCGATGAGAACAGACATCAAATTGGCGAATCCAGCAATGCAGGGCAAAGAGCAGTGGCCATGACTGCTGCTTCTCGTGTGTTGACTAACATCCCCACACTGATTCTGCCGCCGTTGGCGCTGAGGTTTTTGCAGAGGACGAAAGTTATTCCGGTGTCGGGACCGTTGACGAGAGCAGTGGATCTAGCAATGATCGGGACGAGTTTGTTGGTCTTCCTTCCGCCAGCAATTGCTACTTTCCCTCAAGTAGCGAAGATCGATCCGAAGCAGTTGGAGACGAAGTTCCATAATTTGACGGACCCGGAGGGTAGGCCGATTACTCAGGTCGAGTTCAATAAAGGTCTGTAGAGATAGCCGTCTAGATGCAGTACACGGTGCGGATGAATAGATACTCATTTAGTCACGGAAGAGACACGAGAGGACGGGTAGTATGTGCGTGTGGCTTGCAATGAATGATCCATCAGAATGTGCGAGAATGAGCTGAGACTAGTATGTCAGATTGTTATTTACACCGCCCGTGCGGTTTTACACGGTGGAAAGGCAGTGTGTGGGGGTGATCCAAAGTACAGTAAGATGCACAGAATGCGAGTGGGTGGGAGAGAGAAGAGAATGTGGCGAATTCACCGAAAAGTGGCAAAGTGTAGAAAGAGAGCGTGTTGTGGGGCCGCCAGGTATATGCGATTGAACGGAGAGACAGAGGAACCCTTTTTCGTCCACGATTCACTGAGGTGCAGGGGGTTTACTTGTTCTTACGAGACTCCTTCTTAATAACCACCCCTTCGTCACCGCTGGATGATGCGTCAGACTGGTCATCTGATGATCCCTCCAATGCAGCGGCGGCGGCAGCAGCAGCTTTCTTCTTTGCGAGCGCGACCTTCTCTTCGACAGCAATGACTGCGAGCAATGGATCGTCCTCTGCCTTAGGAGCGCGGTATGATCCACCAGCGCGATCACAGAAGGTGAAATACTGGCCGTAGTTACAGGTAAAGAAAAGGTGGTGCAAGGTGTGATGCGAAGGACCATTGATAATCTTTTCCAATGGCGAGTTGCAGATCATGTCCGAGTCGTGGATGAGAATACTCCACAAGTTGACAAAGACGAACAAGCAGACCGAAACAACACGGTGGAGGGGGAAGACGAAGGGGAAAATGTGGTATGGCAAGGACTGGGCGTAGCCATCAAGTGGGTGGAAAGCGTGACTGGCGTATGGAGTGGGGACGAGCCATTTGTGGTGTGGCTTGTGAACGTGTTTGTAGAGCCTTGGGTGGTGTTCGAGTCGGTGGACCCAATAGATGAGAAAATCGGTGAAAAGGAGGAAGAGTGGGACGGAGAGCAAGGCGTATGCCCAACCGTAATCTGAGATATTGTTGTAGAGCTTGCTATGTCCTCGCACTTCCAGGACGAACCATGGGATGGTGAGGAAGTCAAGTGGCAAGAAAGCGCGCATGGAAGCTTCGATCTCGAGTTTGACTTGGTTCTTGAGGAAACGAGGGTGCTTTTCCATCTCCTTGTTGAAAAGGTACTTGTAGGAAAGACCGGCAAAGGTGAAGTAGAGGATGAGGATGCCAATGTAGGTAAGGACGAGCAACGAGACGGTCTGACGAATGATGCTCTCCCTTGGTAGTGCTGAGACATGCTGCAATGCTGACCAGTCGACGTGTTCACCGCTCAGCGACGATGAGACGGCCTTCTGAAGTACATAGTTGGAAAACCAAGAGGAAGGGGCAAACGCTGAGGTACTAGCGGAAGCGGCCCATGTTGGCGCGTCGGTTGAGAGGCGGAGCGCGGATGTCAAGTTGCTAGTGGACGATGAAGCAAGCGATGCCAGTGTGGAAGGGTTCTTTGCAATGGAACGGGGAAGTGCAGGCCATGCTGCGGCCCAGACCTTGTCGAGCGCGTAGGTGTCGGCGATCTCTAGAATGAGATCCATTTTGAAGTAGGTGCTACTGTGGGGCGTAACTGGTTGCTAGGAACGGGTATGCGCTGTTATTGCAAATCCAGAGAATTCGGTGGCGGCGGCGGCGGGGATGCTTCGATGTGTAAGAAGCAAAAAGAGTCCACGCGCAAATGAAGCTAGAGAGAATAAACTGATGGGTGTCCAACCTAATTATAGATCGTAGTCATCACAATTGGTGTGCTGGTAATGTGATGAACAGTCCGAGCTGTGATGCGAGTGTGAGCGATGCTACCCGGATAGGAGAGCAGTGCAAGTATCTCAAGATACCGAGGATGCCTTGATAGATGGTACCGAGGTTCGTATGCAAACGCGACCGGAGAGAGCGGATGGAACCAGTAGGAAGCCGCGAGAGTGGGAAGGGAGAGTGTCTACGTAGAGCACGGGGTAAAGGATCTTGATCGACGATACGCGGTTGCGGTGGATAGTGATGGGGAGAAAGAGAAGGGTTGATGTTTGATGAGATACAAGGGTTAAGGGAAGATGGAAGATGGGGTGAAATGTAAGGCACCGGCGACAAAACAAGTCAATCAAACGGCACCAAGCTGGACAGTGGCGGAAAGGCCGAAGGAAGCGCAAGACAGACAGACACTCCCTTCCGCACAAAGGCAGAGAGCCAGCATTGTGGTCTGCAAGCGCAACAAGATTTTTTCCGTATGGTTTTGCGAGCGCTTCACTTTGTCGCTTGCCGGTCATAGGTGGCTACAACAATACCGTTCTGCCCCCTCTCTTCAGCTTACTCTGCGCAGGACCCTAATCTTGTAGCCAGGCAAAGGTAGAGAAGTGACTGAATTGACCGAGAGGAACACGCCACAACTCAACCTCACACGCTAACCTCCCGCGCTCTCGATCCTAACTTTCGGCACGGTAAACATACCATTGTTGCAAAGGTCAGGCCACCAGTGCGCTTCACAGCCAAACGTGATGTTTGATACTGTGCTTCCATGCAGCAGCGATAGCATTCAATACAAAAGTGTTGTCCTCTTGAGCTCATGTTCAGCCATATTGAAACAACGCGGTGTCGCAGCAGAGGGAAGGATCTTCGGTGCTTCCGACTGTTGCTGTCTGCGCTTCGCTTCTTCAAACCGAGCCGTAGACGAAAGAGGCAATTGAGCAGAAGAATGATTGACCAGGGTCTCACTTGTTCCAAAATCTCATGATTTTGGTCGTTTTCTTTTGTTTCGCGTCCAACACGGTGGAAATTCCCGAGAAGAGTCAAAATTTCTTCCCTGCCTCCCTTGCTTGGCTACACCCCCCCACTGTGACTTGCCGTGTGCATGCGCTTTTTCGGACGCAGCGGCAATCACCTTCCGGTCACTTCACACCAAAATGAAAGCTCAATTTTCAAATTTTTCCAAAACACGCCTTCTTTAGAGATTTCTTTTTTCTTTTTAGTGGTAAAAGGAAGGCACTTGAACAGTGTCGAGCTTGACGAGAACAAACACCCGTTGATCGACCCGAGCCAATCACCGGCAGAATACGGCAGGCCCAATACTGTCGTGCGCTTCAAGCCCCATGCATGGACCACTTTGAATTGAGCTCGAAATTTTTCAAAACATCCTCCAACCCTTTCCTTCACTTGGCTTGAATGCTCGAAAGCGCGTGCTCCAAAACCTTCTATAGACTCTTCTCGCCTCCTGCCTCCAGTCAGTTTGTGAATGTGAAGGGAGATAACTTCGGAAATCCGCCGTTCAATATGAGCGCAAAGGCCAACGCCTTCCTCGTCCCAGTTTGAGTTGACCTGAGCTTCTGGCCTCTGTCTTCTTCGTGGGCCTGGTCCGTGCCGCTTGATTCTCTCTTTTCACATGAGCAAGCCACACGAGGTTCGTTAGGCTCACTCCAGCGTTGAACTCGCTCTGGTGACCATTCACTTGCAACACCCTTGACATCCGCTTAAAACACCGATTGCTTGCAACGTGCAGGCAGCTTGAGGTTCGTCGAGCTAAGAGCGATGGAATATCTTGACACATGGCATTGGACCCTCATCACTGTCGATCGCTGACTGTGCAATCAAATCTCGCCACCACCTATTCTCATTCGCCTCCGAGCGCGGTGCTTGTTGGACGGACACTCCTCCTTGCGTGCAGTACGGCTATGCAAATGCTTAGCAGAACAAAACTGCGATTCGACGTGGGGGGTGAGTTGCAAACAGATGAAACGCCGACAACGGCTTTCCACTGACCGTAATCTTGCATCATTTCGTGTGGTTAAGTTTTGGTAACAACCAACGAGGTCGCGCGAGTCGTGCCAAGGGAATCTCGATCTGATAAGCACGCCTTACCGCCGGCAGTGGCGACCAAATTCGAAAAACTAGATCGTGAAGCATCGGGCTCAAACAGAAGGTCCATCGGGTGATTTGCATTTCACCGACTTCCGAGAGGCCACATCCTCTCCACTTTGGAGTAGTTCTTCCTGAATTGGTACAGCTGATAGCCTTCATTGCAGCGAGACCAACATCGACGAGGACACCAGCATCTGCCATGCCGCACTCGCACCACTCTCACAGCGGTCAATTCTGCTCGCACGCCAAAGACAGTCTCGCCCAGGTGCTCGAGCGTGCACAAACGCTCGGCTTCACCCACTTCCATCTTAGCGAGCACGTCCCCCGCCAAAACGAATCCGAGCTATACCCGGAAGAAATCGAAGCTTCCATCACACCTAGCAAGCTTTGCAACACCTTCCGGAACTACCTCGCAGAAGCAAGGAAGCTGCAGCAAGAGTATGCGAGTCGATCATTGCACGTCTTAGTCGGATGCGAGACAGAAAACATCACTAGTCCAGGCACTCTTGACTACTTGACGGAAATGCTTGACAGCGATGCCAACACTCAACCAGAATTTGTCGGCAAAGGCGTGGTCGACTACATCGTAGGCTCGCTTCACCACACTCATACAATACCTATCGATTTTGATCGCGAAACGTTCGATCGCTCCGTTGCCAGCTTTCAAACCCCTTCTCCCTCTTCTACAACCGAGGCACACCTAGCTTTGATCGACCAGTACCTCGATGACCAGCTCGAAGTGTTGCAACGAATCAAGCCTGAAGTCATCGGCCATTTCGACATGTTCCGACTCTTCACCCCAGAGCTGAAATTGGAAGCGCCGCAGATTTGGTCCAAGGTCGAGCGTAATGTTCGCTTTGCTGTCCAGTCTGGCGCTCTTTTCGAATGCAATGCTGCCGCGTTCCGGAAAGGTTGGAACACTTCCTATCCTGGTAAAGAGATTCTCGATCTCATTCTCAGCTTGAAGGGAAGGTTGTGTCTCTCGGATGATTCACACGGCGTACAGGCTGTCGGTCTCAACTATCTGAGATTGAGGCAATACTTGGTCGATTCTGGCGTCGAGACAATCTGGTACCTCGAGAAAGATACATCATCTTCAACAAAGCATACGAGAGGTCACGACGGCGCGCCAATACGCTTTGCGAGAGGGACTGTCGCCAGGCCGATGGGAAAAGAGTGGTCTTCTCATCCATTCTGGACAACATTTGCGGCAGCACTCGGACGCGAAGCATAAACATCACACCATACCCAAGGAGCATCCAGTCATTTGAGCGCAAGCTGGGCTTCAATCATCAAAGATGCTAGAATTGTGCCATGTGTGACATATACATGATCAAAGAGAGAGAGATGGAAAGAATCGGCTCCCTTACTTGCGTTCACCAGCCTTGCCCTTCCTAGGCTGAGGAAGTGTGAACGGCGTCTTGAGCACCATTCGCTTTTCACCGCCCACCACAGCTGATGTGCATCCCAACGTCCTGAACAGCTCGCGCAGTGTCGCAGGTGCGATGTTGCAGTTGCGAGCCAACTTGCCATGATCCACCGAAAAGTTGTCCAAATGAAGTGCGAGCGCACAAATGTAAGCAAGTACCTTGGTCGAGTGAAATGCCGACATCACTGCACGGTCCGAGTTGGCAGGTGTCTCGGTAAAAGTGTTGAGGATCGCCTTGATGATACGCTTGTTGGCATCTTCTCCGTCGAGTTTGAGGCTGCTGATCAGCTTGCCCTTCTGCGAGACCGATTTCGGATGGCTTTGAATGTACCAGAGTAGAGACATGTAGTAGGCCATGCGCACCTTGTCCTTGGCATCTTCCTTGTCTTCTGTAGCGCCCAAGACGGGCATCATCAACACATCTTCACCATCAGCACCGCCGTTGGCTGGCTTTATAGCATCGTCATCGTCATCATCGTCGAAAGTGGTGTGCTTCTTGCCGCTACTGCTATCGGAAAGGTAAGAGCTGCGTTGAAGGTTGTCGACCAATCGAGACCAGATCCATGCAGGGAACTCTCGCGAGTATGGAATGAGCTCCTTGAGCGCTTCTATGTCGTCGACGCTGTCGATGAGCTTCTGTATCGGTAACGACTTGAAGATGTCGGTGGGAATGAGGTCCGAGATGCGATATGCTTCGGCAGGGTGCTTGGCTTCCAAGTTGGCGGGAGGCATGGGTCGAGAAGACGTGGAGGAAGCGAGCACCTCATCCAGTGAGGGCAGTGATGCGAGGTTGTCCTGGATTCCACCGGTAAAGTCGTCGAGAATGACTTCCATATTGGCCGTGTCCACCTTCATACGGTCCTGATTCCTCGCATTGGCCTTCTGCTTGCGGTTGCCGAATGCATCACCAAGAGCTCTGCGTGCCATTGTCATCTCGTTGTAGTCGGCAAAGGTGCGCGTGCTAGAGATGGAAGAGAGCGAGCTGTTGGCCTTGATTGATCGCGCCACTTGGAATGCTGGTACAGCGCACAAAGTGACTGAGCTGCTAGAAGGGTCGTAGATGCCAACCATGTATTCGCCAGTGTAGCCTCGAGCTTCAGCGCAGCTTCCAAACTCGAAGTTGTTGCCGACATAGGCGATGGTGTCGGTCTCTCCTGCCAGCAAGAGTCGCTCATCTCCCTCTTCTGGTCGCGCACCGGTCTCGTCTGGCAAGCCATCAGCGCGGTACAGGCTGAACTTGGTGGAAGGTGCAGGGTTGTAGTCAGCGAACGAAGCAAAAGCGGCGCCTGACTCGCTCAGCTGTTTGAAGCCATTCTCAGAGCCTTTGATTTTGAGTTGGGCCTTGGCCTTGCCTTTAGAAACAGAAATGCTAGCATCCGAGGAGGAGGATGCTACTGTTGTAGAAGACGTTTTCGACTTCTTAGATGAGCTGTCGGAGGACTTGGACTTCCTCCTAGCGTCCTTGGAAGGACTCGCTGCGTCTTTCGACATTCTGGCCGCCCAGCGAGATACAGATGGGTGGTAATGGGCCCCAAAGGCTGAGATGAGAGTTGCGATGTTGTTTGTAGGGAGACTACGATGTTAGCAGAAAGTGAGTGGCAGGGTGGTTTGGCAAAAGTTCCACTTATTTTTTATTTTTTTTTATTTTTTTATTTTTTTTTTGACGACATGCATGGACTTCCAACGCCTAAATCCAAATATCGCCCTCTTCCGCATCTAATGCTGACAGAATCCTGAAAGTCTAACAGAATTGCTCTTTTCACCACAATCCCACGTGGCCTCTCAGTTGAAGATACGTCGGTATTTCTAAAGGATGACATGTTAGATCGGAGCATTCAGGACCGGAAGGCCGGAACAATACGAAGTGCCAACGTAGATGAGATAGGTGCAAAGCTCGTGGGAGCACATGCAGCCTACGCTCGAGGTCTAATGCCAAGGTATGCAGGAGGTATGTTGGCATGGCAACGGTTATGAAGCGTTGTCATGCCAACAGTTATGAGGTGATGACAAGGCAACGATTATGAAAGTATGGAGCATAGTCAGCCGTTAAGGTATATACAGCTCGCGGGTAAACCGTCCCACGATTTTAGATGTCACCACAAATCACTCCAATGCTCAACAACCAATGTATCAAACCTATTCTTGACCTAGTTGCGGTGTTTCAGATTTGCTCTGATGGTTATTTTCTAAGTACAAGCTCAAGTCCAGAGGGGGACTTGGCTCTTTTGGCAAGTTTGAGCCCAGAAACTCCCAAGTCCCTGTCACAGGGTCAGAAGGATAGTGCAAGAGAGTGTGCCAAATTGATCAACGGCAGTCATGGGAATGTCGCGCAACGGAGCAGTATATGAAGGGTGTGCAACGGATCAATATATGAAGGGGGCGCCAGATTGATCAGTGCCGAACCATCGGGGATCAACGAGATTAATCGGGCTGGCAGCGCATATGAATTACGAGAATCTCACAGGGATCGGTCGGAATCAGTCAGATCAGCATGCCTCAACAAGTCGGCCAATACAAGCAAGTACTAGTAGACTCAGGAAGGAGAAGCACTCGGAAATAACCATAGGAGGTGGTGGGGAACTGAGTGTCAGGGGTCTCGCGCCTGAAACCCAGGTCGGTCTGTCGAGATACTCGGTGACTATTAAACTGTGTGACAGCTATTGTCTCGGTATCGGTGACTATCAAGTTGTGCAGTGACAGCAGGTGGCGTTCGTTGTATATACTATCGTAGGTTTCGGCTGACCTCTGTGGACACTCCGTTCAGGGGTAGCTCGGCACGATCAATATCAATGTTATGATGACACCAAGGTCTGGTGTGGGTGTTGATGATGATGAGGTTGATGGTGTTGGTGATGAGATTGGTGATGTCGATGATAATGAAGTTGATGGTGTTGATGATAAGATTGGTGATGTCGATGATAATGAGGTTGATGGTGTTGGTGATAAGGTTGGTGGCGTCAACACGAGTGTCCAGTGTGTTGACTTGATGCTTTGAAGTGATCCCCGGACCGCAGTGGACTACTGCCTTCGGTTCTATCTATATCCGGACCGCTAACCTGCTATGGGCGCCTTCGGACGTCAGGTAGTGGTGATACAACACACACACTACGATGAGGAGCAACCTTGATAGATTGCTGCTATGCTGACTGTAACTAATGAGTACTTGTGTTTCTAAAGTATTGACTAGTTGTATGGTGAGTAGAGTGGATGAGGATCCACTCGACCTATGATGATGAGAAAGCATGGTTATATACCTCTTCTCAGCATCGCCAGCGATGCTGCTCCTGCTCTCTCTCCATAGAGTACCTTCTTCATCGAGTACTGCTCAGGGGCCTCTCCTGCTTGGCACCCCTGTGCCTCTTGGTCGACACAGCTCCTCCTCCTCATGACCTGGTGTCGACTCCTTCGACACTGCTCCTCCTCCTCATGACCTGATGTCGACTCCTTCGACACTGCTCCTCCTCCTTTGATCAGTGACAGTTCCTTTGGCTCTTGTCTCTCGAGCCCCTGAGTGGTAACCATCTGCATGCTCCTTGAGCTTGGTCCTCTTCGTGGCTGTGCCTGCTCCTTGAGCTTGGTCCTCCTCGTGGCTGTGCTTGGCCCTCCTTTGCATGTGAGTCCATAGGAGTCCATGGTCTCCATGGAGACTGCACTACGACCATGCTCTCTACTGGTGTCGACTAGGTCTTCGATACCTGTGCTCCTTCCATATGAACCAGTGACCCTCCTGCTTCTTGAGCATCCAGGCCCATGACACTACCCCCCTCTTAAGAGCCGAGCTCCGTCGAGGCATGCTCTGGTCTGGTTCATGCTGACTCCTCCTCTTCCTTGACAACATCGTCCCCGTCATCCTTCCTCCTTCTCTCAACGTCATCCTCCTCTCTCTACTCCTCCTGTTCTCTCTTCCTCTCTCTACTCCTCCTGTTCTCTCCTCCTTTCTCTACTTTGTCTACTCACTCGTCCCCCCTCCGACACCTCATACTCCTGGATGAGGTCGGGACAGTTGAGGTTCTCTACTGGTTCCCATGAAGCAGCTTCTTCTGAGTACCCTCTCCACAACACCTTGTACTCTGTAGTCCCATTGTGTGAACGCTTGTCGATGAGTGCTTCGACTTCGAAGTCGAGGTCCTCATCTGGAAGTGGTGGCAAGGTGGGCTGTTCAGCACGTTGAGGAAGAGAACTTGTTCTTGCTGGCTCGAGCATGGAGACATGGAACACATCATGCACCCTAAGGTTTGCTGGCAATGTGATTCGGTAAGCTCGGCGTCCTACCCGTTCCTGAACTGGGTAGGGTCCTGCAAACCGGGTATCCAACTTGGGTGTGGGTCTCCGTGTCTTCCAGTTTCGGCGGTTGATATAGACCATATCACCCACCTTAAACTCAATGTCCTTGTGCTTCCTGTTATACTGGTCTACTGATCTACGTTGTGCCTCTCTGATCTGCTCCTGGAGGTACTTGCAACGCTCCTTTCCATCCATGAGGTACTCAAAGCGACCTGGATCATTGACTCCTAGTCGTTGAGGGATGTCAGGATGAGCTTTGGGGTTCCATCCATAGCATGCAAAGAATGGTGAGACACCAATGCTGTTGTGGACCGTGTTGTTGTATACAAAGGCCGCAGTGTCCAGCAGGTTGGCCCAGTCATTCTGCTCATAGTTGCAGTACATCCTGAGATATTGCTCTATGACCTGATTGACTCTCTCTGTCTGACCATCAGTTTGAGGATGGTAAGCCGTGCTAAGTGAGTGCTTCACACCCATTTGCTCTGCAAATGCCTTCCATGCTCCTGATATGAACTGCCTGCCTCGGTCCGAGACCATGTGATCTGGATATCCAAAGAGTCTAACCATGTGTCCATATAGCAATACTGCAGTCTGTTTGGCCGTGACTGTCTTATGGGTTGGAGCTAGTATGGCAAACTTGGTTAGCCTGTCGACAATGACTAAGATAGAGTCATAGGTCTTGGAGTCATACTTCTTCGATGTTGGTAGTCCTTCGATGAAGTCGAGGGATATGGAGCCCCAGGGCCTGTCTGGGGTTGCTAGTGGCTGTAGCAAACCATATGGACGATGACGAGGAGCTTTGTACCTAGCACATACAGGACAACTTGCTACATAGTCTGCAATCCAAGCTGTCATGTTTGGCCACCAGTAATGTCGTTGAGCTGCCTTGATGGTAGCATCTCTTCCTACGTGTCCAGCAGTGATACCATCATGGCATTGGGTCATCACCATGAATCGCAGATGCTCTACAGAGAGAGACTGTCCATCTACCTCTTTGGCACTCCTTGAGTGTCGGTTGTTGGTCCTCCCTGGCATGATCACCTTGGGGATAACCAACCTTCCTCCACTGTACCATAGGTCATCCTTGAGTTCGAAAGGCTTCTTCCTATGTATCTCCTGTAGCTCTTGGTCTAAAGGCTGGAAGATCTTGACCAGGTCTTTGAGACCTTTTGATGCTATGGACTCCATCGAGATCATGGGGGCCACTAGGAGCGAGTCATGGTCTGCTGTCTCCTTGAACACTCGAGGAGGCAGTAGTTGCCTCACATTGTGATCCTGCTCTTCACCAGCTGGTTGCATGTCTGTCCTTCTGGTGAGAGCATCGGGTTCACCACCTTTGTCTCCTGGTCGATACTGCAATATGAAGTCGAAGTCTGCTAGTAGTATTGCCCATCGAGCTTGTCGACCTGTGATGCGTCTCTGTGACTTGAAGTACTTGAGGGCTTCATGGTCAGTGAGGATGACCAGTTGGTTCGGTAGTCCAGCTAGCATGTGTCGCCACTGAGTGAGGCAGGCGACCACAGCTAGGAGCTCCTTATCATGGATCTCATAGTTCTTCTCGGCAGAAGACATCTTCCTAGAGTAGAAGGCCACTGGATGCCATCGTCCTTCATGCTCCTGCTTGAGTACTCCTGCTATAGCAAAGTCACTTGCATCAGTCTCCAACCTTGTTGGAAGGTGGTAGTCGAAGTGCTGAAGCACTCCTGCTGATGTGAAGGCCTGGATGAGCTTGTGGAAGGCCTGTTGGGCCTCCTCTGGTAGCTCGAACTTCTTGAACCGTTCTATAGGCTTTACCAGTGCTGTCAAGGGCTTGGCTATGCGAGCAAAGTGGGCTATGAACCTTCGATAGAAGTTGGCAAAACCCAGGAACCTCTGGATGTCATGGATTGACTCTGGCATTGGCCACTCCTTGACAGTGCGCACCTTTTCTGGGTCCATCTCTATGCCCGTTGGCTTGATGATGTACCCCAGGAACTCGACTGTCTTGGTGTGGAACTCACACTTCGACAGCTTAGCAAAGAGCCTGTTGTTCCTTAAGCGAGTGAGGACCTCGGTGACATGCTTCACATGTACCTCTTCAGTGTCACTGAAGATCAGGAAGTCATCTAAGTATACCACTACATATACTCCAATGATGTCTCGGAAGATGTCATTGATGAATGACTGGAAGTGAGCCGGAGCATTGGCTAGGCCAAAGGGCATCACTA